ATGATATTAACAATTTCACTTTTAGATACGTGTTAAATGCTGCCTGGAGTAATCCTTTTCCATACAATATCAGAAGATAATGTAGTAACAGTTTCTACACATAGATACTGATGGCAACAATAGATCTCAGAAACAGGATTACTCCTGAGAAGAATTTTCCTTATTTCTCAGTGTTCGTGTCATTTCTTATGGCCAGAACCTCCAGAATCTGTGGGGAAAAGTGTGCCTTGTATTCAGCACACCCCAGGACTCAGAATGCAGCACCTTTTCATGAAAAGAATTAGGAATGTTGTATTTAAAGAAATCTTTGGAAACTTAGTTATTTAAATACATTGAAATGATAAAAACAGTTTCCCTACCCATAAACCCTGTAAAACTTTCACTTTCAGTGACTCACAGTACAACAAAACACCATTTCATAGTATTTGCAAAACATTTCTGAGCATCAGTCATGGCTTCCAGATGACCCTGATGCCAGCAGTGATCGTAACTAATCCACAGACGTGTAAATTCATGTCCAGATGTCTGGGAAAGGTGTTTTGTTTTGTTTGCCATAAAGACTGAGACGCAACTGGTTCATTAAAAACAGCTGAGATGTCGCTGACTTTTTCTGGGAGCACTGACCATACCACATTGAATCACAGAATCATAGAATCCCAGGTTGGAAGGGACCACAAGGATCATCCAGTCCAACCTCTCGAGGTAAAAGTATCATTTAAATGAGCTGAGTCAGGCCCTGTCAAGCTCACTCTTCAAACTGACCAATGTAGGGGCATTCACCACTTCCCTGGCAGATCTGTTCGATGTCTGATTGATCTCATGCTAAAACAATTTCTTCTGGAGTTCAATCGGAATCTCTCCAGAAGCAACTTGTGTCCATTACCCCTCGTCTTTTCCATGAGACTCCTTGTTAAAGGGAGTCTCCCTCTTTTTGGTAGCCACCCTTTATGTACTGGTCCATGGTGATAAGGTCCCCCCTAAGCCTTCTCTTCCCAAGGCTCAACAGCCCCGTTTTCTCAGCCTTTCTTCATACAGCAGCTCTTCCAGTCCTCTGATCTGTCCAGGTCTTCCTAGAGGGTGGCTCTCCCTTCTGGAGCATCAACTACCCCAGTCATTTTGGTGTCATCAGCAAACTTCATCATGGAGCTCCTGATCCCAACATCCAGATCACTAATGAAGATATTAAATAGCTGCAGCATTGTTAGGGACTCTTTTTAATCTGACCTTTTTTCTTGTCCTGTACGTAACGTGCATTTTTAGCGTCTCTTGGTGAAGTGTTTATTGAAGTAACTTGCACTGCTCAAGGCAGCAATGTAGATGGCAATGTAGTACAGCCTGTGTGCATGAACACTGATGGAAATAGATTTTAGAAACATGTTTATCCACAGAAAAATACTCCACCGTTTCAAGCTACCCCCATCTTCTCTTTTGGCAACACCACGTACAGTATTAAAAACACCAAAGACAAGATCCTGAAGGAGAAGTTGATGCAAAAGGAAAGTACCTGTAAAAGCATGGTCGTTACAGGGCGGGAGAACCAAACCTAGCAGAAAAATTAACAGCAGTCAAAATACACTTGTAGCAAAACACGCTACAAGTTTGAAACACGCAATACTACACATGTGGTGCAACACACTTGTTTTAGGTGTGCGATAAACATCACCAAACGAGCCACAGGCTATGTTTGCTGTCTGCTAAATTGACGCTTCAGACCCTCTGAATTATTTTTCCCTTGTAACGCGCTGCCAGCAGAACAGGAATTGCATCTGTATGATCCTTTAGCAACGTGGAGAGTATGAATGATCCCTGTCTAGAATCGCACAGAGACAGAACCACAAATGCAAGTTTTCTGAAGTGGTGTGAGCATATGAAATGATGGCTTCTAACGTGTTTTAAAAGCGTTACTGCTTTGCAGTTTTACCCAAACACGACTCCTCAACGATCTAGAATCACTATTTAACGTGACAGGAAAGGGAGATGTCAACAGAGCTGACAAGGATGCTTAAGTTACCACAGCCCTCCATCAGAACAGCACATTTTACAGATACATCTGAGCTCAGCGTAGTTCATCCTAACATCTACACAGATGTTACCATCTTTACCAATGCTTTAGACTGCTCACCCTGCAGCACTCAAGCTGTTAAGATATTCCATGGCAGGTTACATCACTCCCTCCTGCACGCTTACTGTTCTGTGCCACGCAGACATTATTTTATCTGCGAACTTTACAAAGTTAAAGAAAACATTCAGAAATCAAGGCTTCCTGCAGATTTAATTCCTACCCCCTACAGCCCTGCTGGTGTTCACAAAGAAACACTCTCATCTTCTGAGAAAGCATGACTGAAAACTGTGCTTTACACATCTTACTCTGAAAGCTGTTGTCAGTTCGAGGTTTTTTAAGATCAACCAAGAAATTGTTTTCTGCACTGAAATATTCTAACAGCCCTAAGCCCAAAAGAACAAAGGATCAAGATAATTTACACTAAAAAGTAAGGAATCTTTTTCAAATCTATTTGTGCATGCATGGATATAATGAGACACTCATCTGTCTTTGAATTATCATCTCTTTAACCTCGGAGCCTTTAGAAACAGTGGCACGGGGATTTTTCACTCAAATATGCAGTGTAAGAAGGGAAGATATGAAAGCTGTTTGGCTTTTTTTTAAAAAAAAAAGCAAATATGGTACTGATGAAAAGTCCAGCAGGACTGAAGAATAAAGTCATGTACCTGTCTAGTGAAAAATCATGCACAGGATGCAAGAATCTACTAGAAACCTTTGGTTTCAATATTATCTACACATTCAGCAGAATTAAAAGGGTTACAAAGGCATGCTCCTTCTGATTCTGTGCATGGATTCAGTGTCTCTTCTGCTGTAATTGATCTTTTAGCACAATTTTGTTCAGCTTCAGAGATTTTTTTCAGAGTTCAATAGACAGCTGAGGAACTGACAAGAATTGCATGAATTTTCTTTTCTCTTGCTCCTCGGGAAGCCTTTGGGCAGCACCACAGAAACGTTCTGAAGTATTCACAGAGGAGAATAATTTTAAGGCAGGGAGACATGAAACCCCTGGAAAGAAATAGAATACAGCATTTCTCTATATAACATTGTCTCTGGAGGAAAGAGCTCTTGCAGTACCAGAAATGGAATGAAATTAGGCAGCACAAAGTCAAAGAAACCACTGCTATGACCTAGGGCAAATCATGCAAAAACACGAGGAGGCCCAAAAGGACAACTGCAGGTCTAGCCTGGCCCAGGAAGCTCAAGTCCCATCTCCAGCACTGAAGTAGAACTGAGAAAAATCTGTGCCATTGCTGCCAGACGGTCGTTTAACCACTTCTCAAAAACCCTAAGTGGTATCACAGGTGTTCTGACCTAACGAGCAGTAATATTTCCTGAACATTTGATCTAAAGCTCAGTTATTTTGTTACTTCTTTCCCAAGCTATGAAAAGCAATCGCCACTCTCAATGTATCACGTACAGAACTTATCAGATTCTTCTAAAATAAGTCAATGCCTTCAAGCACTCCTTAATGCTGGAATGTCTGCTTTATCTTCTGTGTTGCTGTAGACTTTACAGAATGGCTTCCCCATCTCTACAATAGCACCGCAAAGCTGGAGAATTGTTCAGGACTCTGAGTAGACTGGAAGAGTCCTGTGCCATGGTTTATTTTACTTTTGACAGGTTTCCATGTCTTATAATGACATTTGTTTGTCCACACTATTACAGCCCACATTCTTTCTCCAGAACCCAAGACACCTTCTCACTTTTGAAGACACCTAGTATCTAAATTCCGCAATATTTTTTTCAACCCTTCGAGAAATACAAATGATAAGCAGCACATCTTTGCCACACTTTCTCTGAAGTGCACCTCTCACAGAGAAGGTAAGGCAGAAAGCTTTATCAAAGTCAAGATCTTGCATATCAGTTGCATATTCTCACCTTCTATACCAGTTAAACTATCGAATCTGATGTATCTATCATCAAAAAGCCATGGTGAATTTTTCCCCCACCAGGTCACTATCCCTAAGTATCTATGATTTAATGAAGTACTAATTTCCCTAAACCTTTTATGAAGTTAAAATTGAGCTGAAGAGTACCAAACTGCCTGGGTTCCCCTCATTTCGAAAGATAAATAACCAACCTCAGAAGAAGAAACCTTAATAACCTTAACGGACACAAACTGGAACACAGGAGGTTCCACTTCAATTGGAGAAGAAACTTCTTCTCAGTGAGGGTGACAGAGCCCTGGCCCAGGCTGCCCAGAGAGGTTGTGGAGTCTCCTTCTCTGCAGACATTCAAAACCCGCCTGGACGCCTTCCTGTGTAACCTCATCTGGGTGTTCCTGCTCCGGCAGGGGGATTGGACTGGATGAGCTTTGGAGGTCCCTTCCAATCCCTGACGGTCTGGGATTCTGTGAAGTAGCTATTCCTCACATAACACTTTGACCACAACCGTAACTATAACCCCAGAACTCACTTAGCTCAAACTCTTTCTATGTATTTAGACCTAGACCAACACTGCCACTGTGGTTTATAGCCTATTACAAAGCTTAAGTAAGTCAGACAAACATATAAGCAGTGTTTTAAAGATAAAAGCACCCAGATACATTTCCCTCACCTTTTAGTTAGGCCGATCTTTAAAAGGATGCTTTAAAACCCTCTCCCTGACCTCCAGAGGCCATCACTGAACCTGCGGCCGAAGCGGGGCTCACGACTCACAGC